GAGGTTTGCTGGGGGGCCCTGTTTTCTGGATTTAAAAATAATCTGCATTGCATATGTCAGTTTTTGTTCCTGCAAAATGTTTTATTTAAAGAATATTTTAATGACAGACCCAAGATTCATTTGTCTCTATATTCAGCCCCATGGGTGTTTTATAGGGAGTCAGCCTCTCTGGATACAGTCCCGAGTCTGTCTCCACAAGACTAGAACCCAGGCCCTCAGCTATCAGGTCAACAGCAAGAAGAGATGGTACAGTCCGCATTAGAAAGACTAGACACCTGCTCAGTGAAGTAGTAGAAAGGTTGTATAGTCATTCATTGCCCCAGAAGATGTCTAAAGTGCACACAGGTGTCCAAGGATGTAGTCGGTGGAAGTGAAATTCTACCAGTTGCACCAGGCTTAGTGACTCATGCCTCGGGAATCCTCGAGACCCTGAATTAGGATGTGAGTCAAAAATAGTGTTCATCAACCTATCATAAATACTTCAGAGTCTACAAAGGCTCTCACCCAACTTATCTGATTCTTTTCCCCTGCAGAGTACTTAGAACTACCTTGTCAATGACAGAGACCACTGCTACCATGGTTACTGACTGTTGTCTAGTGTTATGGTTGCAATCATCAGGAGCCTTGACATCAAATCTGTAGACTCCTCCTTGGTAGGGCCTTTCTTATGAGGAAGGGGCTATTTTCCCTCTCCTGGAAAGGGATTTAGTGTCAAAAAGTCCCAAAGACACCACAAGCAGATGGAAGTCTGGGAAAGACAATTAAGTAAGATCTCATTAGCCAATTTCCGAACTTAAGAGTTAGGATTTTCTAACCCTAACCCCTGAGCTCTTAGGGTAGTGTTAGCAAATCCCGGTTCTAAGAACTAGATATGCTTCTGGCATTCGTTGCTGAGAAGATCTGGTCCAGACTGGTGTAGTTTTCCTCCACTCTCTTCTTGAGGATATCTGGAGCACTCTAGTTGAGATGCAAGCCTGTGGGATCATCTGTAACACTGTAATACTGTGATACTATGATATATCTGTAATAGTTGATCTTCCCTGACCTCCAGACAATCATTGAGGATGCAAAGTCAATACCTAGCTTCAAGGTCAAGGTTGTAAGGGGCTACAGAAGAGGAGGGCCTAAACACACAGCACACAAACTCTTGGGCATCACCTCTCTGTATATGTGTGACACACATACACCTCAATGATGCATATTTGGCTGGTAGATGCCACTAACAAGAGATAAATGCTTTTCCATAGTTTCCAAGTGACCAGGAAACTTAGAGTTCAGCAATCACCAAATCCCACTTCCTTCCCCACATAGGAGGATGACTGCAATATATCTGGCAGGAGGTCCTACAGTTTCTGCTTGAACTCCTCCATCAATAAGAAGCTCACTACATGCAATGGCAGATGGGTCTGTGGTGGGACTCTGCCTTTGCTAAAGCCTGCATCCCGTTCATCGCCTGCCTCTCTGTCTTAGCTTTCCCTAGGAGCCAGAATAAATTATAAACATTTGTCTCCATGGTAACACTCTAAATATTTGAAAAGAACTGACAGTGCTTCCCCCATTATCTCTTCTTGACAGAAAAAAAATCTCCATTCCCTCATAGGATATGGTTTCCAGATTCGCCTCTGTCCTGTTGGCCCTTCCTATGCGTGACCTGGTTAAGAGATGGACCCATAACCAAACCAGTGAGTTCAGTGACACAGAAAGTCTATCTGTGTTGTAGTTCATAGTCACTGTAAAAGCAGCAGGATAGCACTATTGCTTACAGGGAGCATTTGCAATCAGCATTTGCAGAAATTGAAGAAAACAAAAACAAACAAAAAGCAGTGCCTTTCACTCACTTCCCCTGTGACTGCATTTTTGGGCCTGATTTCATTTCCCCATAAACCTAGATATTGGATTATATAGTCAAAATCCTTTTGACCCCCCCCAAATATAACACACCTTACATTTTGAGTAGATAACTGCCATATTTGGGACCTATTCTTTCAAGCTAATAAGGTTTTCCTAAATCTTCACTTCATGATTTTATATTCTAGCAGTTCCTCCTAGTTTTATATCTTTGAATATTTTTTTCAGTGACATTTCTTGTTTCCAGGCAGATTCCTCAGACACAATATATAGACAAGAAAAGAGGTGTCGGGCACACCACCAGAGACCAATCACTGTGTGCACAAAACTAGTCATCAGCTCATCTAGGGCATCCTTAGTGTCCAACAATACCATCTAACTGTATTTCCACCAAAGCTATGTCTCATGCACTCACCCACAATGATTTAGTAGGGGCCATTTCTTTAGCCAAGGGGAATGCTTCCATGACTTCAGCTACTGACATGAGGCATTTTGGAGAAACTCCCCAGAATCCCACAGGCATCCTGTGTAGGTGGTCTGGGCAGTTCCTGGTCAGACCAGAGCTATGTGTAAGCATGAGCTGTAACCATGAAACCCAGCATGCAGGAATCTTCTTGCAACTCAAGGGCTCTCCTTAGGCATCTTGAACCTAGGGCCAACATGACCTACTTTCAGTGGGTATGGAAGGGAGGTCCCAGAAGACAGCTCATTAACTGAAGGTTCCTCTGTGTCTGTGGCTAGACAAGGAAGCCTCACCCTGGCTTGTGTCACCATCTGGCCTGCCCAACAGGAGGCCTTTTAGGAAAATGTGCTATTCAAAGGCTGTGCCTGCCATTTGGCTTTCATAGCAGATGTCTGCTCTGTAGCCCTCTGGGTGACTGTGAATTTACCAGGATCTGTGCACCTGGCTTTCGCATGTTATGATGGGGATGTCCTTTTGGATATATGTTTCTCTTACTGGGTAATGAGTGAAACACTGTTTGGCCAATAGTGGTAGGAAGATAGGTGGGACTAGGAGACGAGGAGAATTCTGGGAAAGGTAGGCAGAGAAACACGAAAAAGGGATGCCATATAGCTGCCAACAGGAGAAACAAGTCCAGACATTCTTCAGTAAGCCAAGACCACGTGGAAATACATAGATTAAATAGAAATGAGTTATAATTAAGACAGAGCTAGCCAGTAAGAAGCCCTGGCCATCGGCCAACAGTTTAATAATTAATATAGCATCTCATATAATATAGTGTGTTCATTTGGGGCTGAAGCAATGGGACCTGGTAGGAGATGGAAATCCAGCAACAACGATGCTCCAGCTTTCCTCATGACACACACTTGGTCTTTCCAGCAACTAATGATTGTATTTTCTTTCTGATGGGAGTCCTCAGATCATGATGGATGTAAATTCCCCAACAAACATTAAAGCTGGGCACTATGTTGCTCATTGTGTACTCCCAGCACTTCCAGAATAAGAAAGTTCTTCTGAACATTTTTTTCCAGATTGTCTAAGCCTTTTTTATTTCATTGGGCTCTGCTTTGGATGTAACATGTTTTATGGCTGGGGATGCAGCTCAGCTCGTAGAAAGGCTAGCACCATATAAACACCTGGGATCCTAACACCAGGAGATGGAGGTAAGAGAATCAGAAACATGAGTTTTAGGTCAGTTTGGGATACTTGAGATTCCCCCATAATTTAGTACAAATAAATAAATGAATGAATAAACTATATCACATCTTAACTTCCCTTCATATGCTAAGCATTGTAACTAGTACACTGTACTAGTTTACCTATGGAAATGTTGCTCACAGAGTTACTTTTCAAGATTATTTATTATTGCTATTGTTATTATTATGTTGTTATTTTGCTTGTAGGACATGAATCTTACTCTCTCATAACCCCAGATCAGCTGGTATTTTGGTCCTTTTTTCCCCTTCTATTTGCACCATTAGCATCTTCTTAGCCACAGACCCCAGACCTTTATTCTCTCAACACTCCAAGTGGATAGTCCTGAGTGTCTAGCTACCGAAGATGCCATAAATAAACTCAGTGTCTACTGAGTCAGGGCAATGCCATATAGAAATGAATGTCTGCCCCGTGTGCTTCTCATCACAGTACAGTTTAATACTTGATCTTAGGTACATCTCTGCCTAAGGGAACAGTAAGCTCTGGTATGCATTGCTAGGGAGAAGGACATTCAGAAGTGGGAAATTTGTTCACATGTGGTACATAGAGTTCTGTGTGTCAGCTACAGCAATGGTTAAGATGTATCTTCTGCCCTCCAGGAGCTTCTGGTCTCATCAGATAGCAAAAAAACACTTACCAGTGGGTGATGTTTTCTAAGAGGATTTAGAATGGGCATGGAAAGTTCTGGGACATTGGGCTGCACAAGCCTATTCTCTTCTATGTCAATTCCATCGAAAAACAAAAAGTTCAGTTACTGGTATTCAGCCCCTGAATTGCATGGTCTCTATGGCACTCTTGTTATTATGAATGAATGACCATGTTTGAAGATGATTACTAGAAGTGGCCTCACACTCTAGCCAAGGGAAAGATGGGAACTCATTCAAGTACTATGCAGGCTGGACCAGGTACCAGTGTGTACTGTGTGCTCTCAAAGCGCAGGAGAGAGGAGCAGGGCAGTGGCAGTCATGGATGGATAACATCTAGGGCACAGTCTGGGCACACCTCCTGAAGCCTAAACTGGGAGGATTTCAAGTCTCTTTTCTGTTTATTATGGTTCACCAGTTAAGAGCACTTGCTGCTCTTCCAGAAGACTGAGTCAATTCCCAGCACCTATATGGTAGCCCACAACTACCTGTAACTCCAGTTCCAGGGGATCAAGTGCTCTTTCCTGGCCTCCTTGAGCACCAGGTACACATGTGGTACACAGACATACATGCAAGCAAAACACCCATATACATAACGGCATACATTCTCCAAAAATCCTTCAACTTGCCCTTGCATCAAGTCTAGCTGGTATTAATCCCCATTTATACCCAATACTCAACAAGCAGGCAAGACACATTATATGGAAAAAAAAAACAAGAAAATACATTGAAGTGAAGATGCTATTGAGAACATGTAAAGGCTAGGTATACACGGGTTCCAGATTCCATGGTCCCAAGAGCATAAAAAAAAAAAAAAGCATAGAGCTTACTTCTATTTGGTTGATCAATGAATTGTCAAATTTGAACCCAGGAATCCTTTTGTCACTGCACACCACACCAACATCTTCTGTGTGCTTGCAGTCGGTTACACCCCAGCCATTGGAGGAGCAGGCTGCCAGGGTCGCCTCTTTGCCAGTGCAGTGGATATTGTCCAGCCAGATGGGCCCTGGAGAAAGTAGAAGAGAGAAAGCAAGCATCCTGTCAATACAGATCCAGGTGGCAAGGGTACTAACATCAATTAGTTTTTATTAAGTGAGGTTGTCACATCTAATCTTAGGTCCCTAGGATTCCCTTGCCAGGATAGGCAGTAGACATGATCTGAAGAAAGTGCTGGTTTGAGCACAATGAGAACAGAAGTCAGATTTGCTCCTGGAAGTTATGTGGCAATACAGTTATGTTTCTCAATGTTGTGATAAAATACTGGACAGAGACATAAGGAAGAAGGGTTTGTGTTGACTCGTGGATTACAAAGGGATACAGTTGATCATGGTGGGGAATCATGACATCGGGAAGTCAAGAAGCAGAGAGAGGTGAATTCTGGTGCTCCGCTGGCTCCCTTGTTTTTCTTTTTATTCCGTTTGGGACCCCAGATGGCATCATCCACACTCCTTTATCTGTTAAATCTCTATGGAAACATCTTGATTGGCACACCCAGAGGTGAGTCTCCCAGCAGATTTCAAAGCCAGTCAACTTCACAATGAAGTTTAGCTTTGTTTATCATTATTATTATGTATATGTACATATGTAGCAGGGAGCACATGCTACAGTGAGAAAGTGTGGAGGTCAGAGAGCAATTTTATGGATTTGGATCTTTTCCTCCATGTTTACATGTGCTCCAGGGATCCAATTCAGGTGACCTTATCCACTGAGCTACCTCACCAGTTAAGTTTCTGATGATGAAATCTAACCACTATGACCAGTACAAAAGAATAGGGACTTTTGTGGGGAGCAGAGGAAGCCCCGGGTTAATGTGTAAAGACCTGTCTAAATTACTTTTCAGTTGTTGTGACAAAACACCACGACCAATACAACTTATAAAAGTAAGTGTTTAATTTGGGGTTCTTGGAGCCAGAGGGTTGGAATCCATGACTATCATGGTAGGAGCATGGCAGCATATTGGAAGGCATGGCGCTGGAGTAGTAGTAGCTGTGAGATCACATCTAGAGACACAACCACAGGAGCAGATGAAGTCTTGAGTGAATGTGTATTAGTGACAAGGACAAAAGCCTCAGACCCCATGGCAACTGGCAAAGCCTTCCTCTATGTGGCTGTTGACAGTATGCTAAAAAAACTCCAGGATGACTACAATCTGAGACTGACTGCTCTCCTACAGAGACCTCCTACCGAGACTGCCTAGCCCTCTTCTGGACTGTACGTACAGCAGGGGCAGAAGTTCTGGATTGTTGTTGTAGCTGGTGCTGCCCCCACAGAACCAGCAGAGCCCACCCAATCCCAGCATTCCTGTATGTGTGTCTGTATGTCCTTTCTTCAGTCCCTTGAAACCCCAGTCAGGTTTCCTGACCAAGCCATGCCGGATGCAGTAGGCTTTGGAGACTAACCTCTTCTAGCTTTGGACCCCAGGTCAAAGCCCCTTTCCAATCAGCAAAAAGGAGACAGCAAGCGAGACAGATGGAGACAACAACTTCTCAAGTGAGTCAGACGGAGACAACAACTTGTGAGCTGCAGAGTGTGGCATGACTAGCGACAGTTCATCGCTACTCTATAGTGACTTGAAAATGGGGACAATGACAAGATTGTGGGTTTAGTTATACCCACAACGCAAGTCAGCCTCACCTGCCTCTGCTTGTCAGACAGCTGTCTTCTAACCACTCATGGACAAGCTCGGCTGCTCTGTCATCAAGGGTTGCTGCTTTTAGGGCACATCCACGCATCATCACCTTGACCTTACCATTCTTCGGGAAGACCTAGGTGACACTGTTACTCTCTCTTCACAGACACAGAGCCTGGCTCAGATATGTCAGCTTCTGGGCACCAAGCCACAGCCTATGAGTCAGTTTTCCAACTAGTGCCTTCTGAATTGGTCTTTTTCAGCATACCTGGTTCAGAGACGGGCCATTACACACAGCCACCATTACACACTCAGCAAGGTCACCAGGGGCCGTGGCTAACCTCCTGTTCTTTCATCTTCTTTGCACTAGTAGAAAAGTCTGTGCACAAAGCACTGGAGGGCTAACTGTGAGTCCCCATTTCGTGCCATCTGGGTGGTAGTATGGCTTGAGTATGAGATGTCTTTGTACCCAGCTGGTGGCACTGCTTTGGAAGACAGAGACATTTTTTTGGAGTGGGGCCTTGATGGAAGGAAGGCAGTGAGTCGCTGTGGGAGGGCCTTAACATTTTGTAGTGTGACCACACTTCCTGTCAACCCCTCTGATTTCTTTCTGTCAAGATAAGAGGGAATAAGCCGGATTGGTAGTTCATGCCTTTAATTCCAGCACTTAGGAGGCAAAAGTCTGCGGATCTCTGAGTTCAAGGACAGCCTGGTCTACCCAGCAAGTTCTAGGCTAGTCAGGGCTGCATAGTGAGACCTTGTCTCAAAACCAAAAACAAAGGCAAAGCCAAGCAGTGGCGAGGAGCCCAGGCTGCAGACTCTTGATACTGTGGCGCCACCATGATGGACTTTATCCTCCCAAATGTGAGTCAACATAACCCTTCTTCTCTTAGGATGCTTCTTGATGGACACTGGGTCACAGCAACTAGGAAAGTATCCCACTGCATGGAGTTCCCATCAAAAACACGGGAAATAGCAAACACGCTGGTACTGGTAAGCATGTGGAGAAACTGAGCCCTTTCTGCATCAGTGGTGCAGACACTGTGGGAAACAGCATGGTGTTCTCAAAATTCATTGTTTTATTTCTTTGTTTAGTTTGTTGTGCTGGGGAGAGGACTCTGGACCTTGTACATGCTAAGCAATTGCTCTATCACCAAGCTATGTCCTCAGCCTCCAAACTTTAAAGCTACCATATGGTTCAGAATTCCAAAACTGAAGCCAGGTGTAGTGACATACAGCTGTAACTGTAACTGTAGCTACTGAGGAGACTGAAGCAAGAGGGTCCCAAGTTTGAGGTCAACCGGGCTGCACACTGAGATCTAGGTCAGCCTGGACAGCTTAAAGAAAAAAATTACAGACCCATATCTGTAATCATAGCTCGCAAAAGACTAAGAACAACTGCCCAGGATTTGAAGATCGGGCTACATAGTGAGTCTTAAACAAACAAACAGACAAACAAAATAATTAAATTTGAAAGCCTGGGGAAGTAGCTCTGTGATAACATGCTTGTCTAGTATGTACAAGGCCTCAGAACAAGAAAGGAAAGGAGGGAATGAAGGAGGGAGGGAGAGGGGAGGGAAGAGAGGGAAAGGAGGAGGAAGGGAAGGAAAAGAAGAGAGGGAAGGAGGGAGGGACAGGCATTGAAAGTCAGGCCTTGGGGAGGTTTGCAACCCACATTCACTGCAGCATAATTCATAACTACTGCCAAGAGATGGAAGCAGGGGGTATTTGTTGACAAACTGCATACATATAAGGCAAAACCGTAGAAGGGAAAATTCTGACGCATACTTCCACATATTTCAAACCTTGAGGACATTCTGCTAAGTGGGAAAAGCTGGTCACAAAAGGCCAAATACAGAAAGATTTCTACCTAGCGGTCTCAAATTCTGAGAAACCAAGTAGACTAGGAGTTGCCTTGGGCTGTGAGGATGGGAGGTGGTTACTTAATGGTTCAGAGTTTCTGTTTTGCAAGAATGTTCTGGAAATTGATTGCGTGACAATGGAAACATAATGAACACGACTGAACTGTATATGAATTTCAAATAGTTAAGATGTTAATATTCTTACATGAACTTTTTACTGCAATGAAAAATAAACACGTAAGAAAGATGCCAGGTTGTTTTCAAATACTGATTTCATGTGTGTGTGTGTGTGTGTGTGTGTGTGTGTGTATCTGCATAGCCATGTAAGATTGCTCATATGTGTGCTTGTAAACACATGGAAACCAGGGCTTGGCATTAGTATGCCTTCCTCTATTAATCTCTACCTTATTTGTGACAGGGTCATGTCCCTGAACCTGGAGCTCAATAATTCAGCTAGGATGACTGGCCCGACACCTTAATGGGTAGTCTCTGCTCCCCTGTGCAGGGATTACATAGGCCTTCATGTTTGGATGGGACTAACACACTAACACACAAATGAATGGGCCCAGGAACATGTTTGGTCTCTTTTCCTTCTAAGTAAAAAAAAGCTAATGTATTCTATGGTTCCCATAGTGGGTGGGTTCCCACAGAGGGAGCTGATGTGGGTGAGGGTTCCCATTATAGAGATTAGAAAATTGAAGTGTGAGGCCGAGGTTCTTCAAGGCCAAGGAGGACACGGGGCAGGTCTCCTGACTTGCAAGCCTGGCTACAACGTGTGTACTCTGATGCCTGGCTGGTTGGTGCTCAAAGGCCAGAGCTCTGGACTCATTGTGGGAACAATGAGTTGATTGAAAACATCTGGACTGAGGTTTTCCAATCACTCTCTCAACCTGGGCTGTTTTCCAAGCTGTCAGGCTCCACTGAAACGCACGCTTGCTAATCGACGGGCTGTTTCTACAGCAAGCTCATATTTGTTTTACTACGTACTAGCAACAGAAGGGGCCCTCCATCTTGCCAGCGAGGCTTCTTCCTCAGAACATTCTGAACTGAGCTGCTGAAGGGCAGACTGTGAAAAGAGGCAGAGCCCTTATTCCATCTGTAGCCAAAGAAACCACCCTCCCTTAGCCATGGAACACAGCCAGAAACCTCTTGTTTCCCACCTAGAGTATATGGTGTATACAGTGCATATTGTGTATATTGCACAAAATAATGGGTTTTAGCCAGCTGTGGTGGCACATGCCTGTAACCAAAGTACTAAGGGGGACCCGTGAGTGTGAGGCCAGTCAGGGTCACCTATCAATAACCAGTCTCAAAGACTGAGTTCATTATGACATTTGTGTGCATGCATATCATGAACTCTGATATTATTCACCCCACTGTCTTCTGTCCTCCAGCTCTGATGACCCCTTCCTCTTCCCGAATACTCTCTCTTCTGCTTCCAGGTCCTTTCTTCTTCTTGTTGTTTGTTTTACTTTTTTCCCCCCACACAGAGTTTCTCTATTGTAGCCCTGGCTGTCCTGAAACTCACTATCCAGGCCACACTATTTTTTATGGTCTCCAGTTGCATCCATTGTCCCCCAAATGACATAATTTTGTTTTGGTGATGGCTGACTAGTATTTCAATGCATATATATGCATTTCCCTTAGTTAATCTCTCTCATTTTTTTTCCATGATGGGGTTTTACTATGTAGCTCTGGCTATTCTGGAACTCACTCTGTAGACCAGGCTGGCCTTGAACTCACAGAGTTCTGTCTGCCTCTTCCTCCCAAGTGCTGCAATTAAAGTTGTGTGCCACTATGTCCAGCTTTCAGTCATCTCTTAATGGATGTTTAGCTTAATTCCATCACTTGGCTACTGTGAAAATTCAGAGTATCTTTAAAGGAGCTGCCTGGAATAGCAAAGCATGTGAAGTCAGCACCCTGGGGCACCATGGGAACTGTCCTCAGCAGAACTGTACCTTTCACGCTCCCTTCTGGTAGTCTTGCTCTCTACCATGCTTGACCATGATGCCTCTGATAAATGGAGAATGTACAAATAAATCTACACTTTGCTTAAGATAGCACCACTACCCATGGTTTGCTTTTTGGTCTGGTTTCATGTGTCAGTGTTTTCTGAAATATATCTAGTGTCCATCAGCTAGACTTTCCTAATTCCAACACACCCTGCTTCCTTAGCTGCCTGTGGGAATGTGAGGCAGTACTAGGCACATAGGGGACATCTGGATGCTAGGGAAGTGGTCCCTGGGATGAGTATTTTTTTGTATTTGAGACACAGAAAGGCTATTCAATCAGAAGCAAAATTGTTCTACTCTTTCTATTCACTCACAGAAACCCATCCCCTGATGAAAGCAGTATGTAAACAAATTAACAAATGTTTTGGAAGAGACAGAGCGTAAATGAAACTGGGTTTGGATGCTGAGTCCTTGATTTGATCAGAGCAATAAAAATTATCCCAAGTTAGAACATGCAGGGTCCTTAGCCTTGTCAGTGTTGGTACAGTTAGGTGGAGAGTCCCCACCCTGTTTCAGGTTACTACGAAAGCCCATCAGAGGGTATGAAATGGGACAGCTGCCCTCTTTGGAGTTGTAGGGAGCTGTGGCTTGCCTGGGCTGGGGGAGGTTTTGGGAGTTGAGACATGGTTGCAGGTTAGGCTGGAAGATCCAGGGGATCCCTGGTGTTTGTTATACTTTCATTATGATAACTTGAACCATGGGATCAACTACATCATTCTCAGCCCCCTCACAGAGGCTGACTCCCAGGTCACACTCCACTGGGTACCACCACCACCAGCCCCAGCCAGGACACTGGCCAGACTCTGGTCATCATACCCCATACTGTTTCATCAACTACTTTCTATAGTCTCCCAAAACAAGGACGATTAGCCAGCTCATATTTTAGCACCCAGTGCTGACCACCCTGAGTTTGTCAGACAGGTTTTCTTACCGGCCTGAAACTCTCCAAATAGGCTAGAGTGGCCGGCCAGTTAACTCCATGATTTGCTAGTCCCTACCCCCCCCCCCAGTACTTCAATTACAAGTACATCCTGCCACACTCAGCCGCCACCTCCACTTCTTGTGGTGGGGGTGAGGGATAAAACTTGGGTCTTCATAAGCTCTTTATTGACTGAGCCATCTTCTCATTTCTCAGACAACTCAAGCAAATCCCTTGGCACTGCAGTGTTCAGTTTGTCTAGTATTTGTTTCTCCCATCCTTTCCTTAAACTGCAGCTGTCATAACCCTCGATGGCTTCGGTGTCCACACAGAGGACTTTTAGAAGTTCAGTACTCGATCACCACACATCCTCTTTACAGACACCTGTTGCTCTTCAAGGTCATGGCTCAGCCCTGGCTGTATCAACAATTGGACCCTCTTCAATATCCATCTCAGCCACCAAGTTCTGCAGCTGTATCTCCCACCATCTTCCCAGCACATTCTCCTCATTAGTACTTAAGCCAAGATCCCTACCCATTGGTTAGAGTAGTTTTGTAGAATCCTTCCTTCCTCCTCCTGTCTCACCCTTCCTTATGCAGCATGAATTCTGTAAACCATCATTTTATTAGATACCTTTCAAGTCTTCTCCACTCTCCTGAACACTTCGATCCTTGCATCCTTCAATAGCAAAGTCCTACCCAATAAGCCCACGTACCCTGCCATCTCCTGCTGGCTCCTGTGGGCAAAGATCCAGATATCTTACCTGATGATAGATTTTGCTGAAAATTTGATTAAAAAATAAATCTGTCACTAGGTAAAAGCCACCATTGGCATTGAGGACACAATATATATCATATAACTTTGAGGATATAATAATCTGGAATGGAAAATATAAATCTGATATAAGCCCTGGATCACTCATATAGCAGAATAAGCAGATATGTGGGCATATGAATGAACACTGCAAGTTTAATCAGAGGCAGGAAGTGGTTCTAAAGGCCCCAGCTAACTGGTCTTGGCTGCTTTGGTTCTCATTGCTGCCAAGTAACCCAGAACAAGCTTTCAGAACATTGACTCTTAGCATGGGGTCTTAGGCCAGTTCTCCCATCAGGAAACTCTCCACTTTCTGGGGGTGAGGTATGCAGAAAACGGTACACCTTTCTTCCTGTCATTTTCTAGAATAACTGAAAGGAAGGAGGGTTGAAGGGAGTTTAACTTGTTTACCTCACTGTCCTTCAACCACTACAGATTCTGTCACACCCAGAACTTTGAGATCAGAACATCCTGGGTTGAGTCTGAAATGTTTTGTATTTTTATGCTCACTTAGGAGGGTTTTGTACAGTTATCATAGTGTTGACCCTCTGGCCCAGGGAGTGTGAACAGCTCACTCTAGTCGAACAGTCAGATTCATTCCAAGGCCCATGGGCTGCTCAGGAGGGGGTCAGGTACTTGATTTACCAACCTGGAGTGGAGGTGCAGCTCCTGGAAAAACACTGTGTGTGTGTGTGTGTGTGTGTGTGTGTGTGTGTGTCTGTCTGTCTTTCACTGAACCTGACGCCCACCAGTTGGCTAGTTGGCTGGCCAGTGAGCTCCAGGGATCCACCTATCTCCACCCCCTGAGCACTGAGGTTTCATGTATATGTTACCATGCCCAGCTTTTTTATGTAGGTGCTATATATCCAAACACAGGTCTTCATGCTTGCACAGCAAGCTCTTTACACACAGAGCCATCTCCCAGCCCCAAGAAGACCATTTGTTTGTAAATGATGCCTTTTACCCACACCTACATTCCCAGCTAGGGACAAGGCCTACCGGGCACACCAGTTCTAATTAAAGGATCAGTCACATGCCATACAACATTTTGCTTAATGATGTACAACCTGTACAAAGAGGGTCTCAGATACCACCCTATGGCCTGCTGACCTCAGAGGTTTTTTTTTTTTTTTTTTTTTTTTTTTTTAAGAATCCTCTATGATGCTGAGCTCACTAATGACTCTTTTTTTCAGAGCAGATCTACATTGTGAAGCTACACAGAGAGCTAGCTCAGTATGGCACTAAGCTAAGAGTCTGAGTCATGAAGACCTGTCCTCCCTCAAAACTCTCATAACTTCCCTTTTCTGCGTTTTTAAAATTATATTTAATTCTATGTCTGTGTGTCTATCTATATGTATATGCATGCATGTGACAGCAGGTGCTCTCAAAGTCCTCCACAGGACTCAGACCTCCCTGGAGCTACTGATAAGTTATTGTGAGCCACCTGAGGTAGGTGCTGGGAATCAAACTCAGGTCCTCCAGAAAAGCAGCACATGCTGAGGTATCTCTCCAGCCTCGTTATTTTGTTTTATTAGTGTTTTAGGATAAATTTATTTGAATCTAACAAGGAAAGAAAGAAGAGGCCGAGTCAGAGTTAACAATTCAGTGTGACCTGTTCTTATGACGACCAATGCCATAAAAGCATGTTAAAGTTAAAATAACAAGTTGAAAATAAGTATGTGTGGTGGTGCTCATTTGTTGTCCCACTGGTACAGAGGCAGAGATGGGAATCCCTGGGGCTTGCTGGTCTAACAGCTTAGCCTACTTGGTGAATTCCAGACCACTGGGAGACCTTGTCTTAAAAATATAAATAAATAAATAAAAAAAGAACAGCCAGATGGTGGTGGCACACACCTTTAACCTTGGCACTCAGAAGGCAGAGGCAGGTGAATCTCTATGAATTTGAGGCCAGCCTGGTTTACAGAGGGAGTTCCAGGACAGTCAAAGCTACACACAGGATGCCATAGACACTCACCTGTGTAAGATCATAAGTGCACACCATACACACATGTAGACACAATAAAATAATAATAATAATAGTGATCTAATAGGTAGAAATCTGGCCTGCGGAGCCTTTCTGAGAAAGAGTAAAAGCCCTACTTGGAGGGAGCAATCTGGGCGAAGGCATGATACTACAACCCACTAGACACAGAGTGAGGCTTAGTGAGATGGGCACAGGCTAATTTCACCTACTGACTGAGGTCACCGACCGTCTTGGCTTGCCTGAGATATTTCAAGCTCAGAGCAGGAATAGCCTGGAGAGCTCATGATGGATGGTTCCTCCCCTATCATTCCCTGGAGAGGCCTCCCACCAGCCTTCCAGCAAGACATATGGGGCAGATAGAAAACTCACAGAAATCATGCTTAATAGCAATTACAGCTTTCTCTGCAGGCCAATCAGGGCGTGTCCTGGCCTAGCTGTGTGACATACACTCAGCTCCACAGCAGTCTCTTACCTTCCCCTGGGCCGTAGGAGGAGCTGGCAGTCCAGGACTTGGCTTCCACGTACCCCACTTCCCGGCAGACAACGTGGGCAGCGTGGATGGAGAAATCATCATCACACACAGTGCCCCACTGGCCTTCATAATAGACCTCCACACGGCCTTCATTATGCTTCCTCTTCTGGCCCGCCAGGCGTACCTGGATCTTGACCACATCAGAGGGCACCCGGTGCTGATGGTACTCGGGAGCCGGCTGCTGGAAGTACTCAGGGTACTGGAGCTGATAGGGCCAGCTCTCATACTGTGCTAGGCTCAGGGAGGGCAGGAAGACAAACACAGCCAAACAGCCATAGAAGTGGGAGCCGAAAGATATCTCCCCCATCCTTGTCCTGTGCTGAGAGGAGGTCAGGGATGATATCAGGAACTTTCTGGAAAAAAAAGGGGGGGAGAGAGAGATGGAGAAAGTCATTAGTCTAGGATAAAGGTTGTAGATACCTGTAAAGTGTTCTATGATGTCACCTTTCTGGCTTAGCATGCAAAGCTCTTCTGGATTACATTCCAACCCATTTCTGCTCCCGTTTCATGTTTTGGCCACACCAGTCTTCCTTCCTGGTGTCAAGCACTCCTACTCTTCATCTTTGGAATGTTGGCATCAGTACTCTTAAATAAATTTAAGGAAAACCTCTTCTTCTTTTTATTTATTTAAGTTTATGTGTATGAGTATACGCATGTGCGTGAGCATGTGTACCATTGTATGGGTGTGGAGATCACAGGACAACTTGTGGGAGTCTATTCTCTTATTTCATCATGTGTATCCTGGGGATTGAACTTAGGTCATCAGTCTTGGCAACAAGCTCCTTTACCTGCTGAGCCATCTCATAAGCCCTCTTCCTTTCTATCTTCCTCCTTCCCCAGTGGAAGTGAAGAAAGATCAGGGGAATGGACAAAGGATGAGGGAAGCACCCCTTGTTTTCAATAGATGTTAGCCATGACACCAGCGACTTCTTGAACTGAGCATAGCTGAGTGGAAAAGACTCTCTGGTAGCATCTGGTGCTTTACTGAAGGGTCTCAGAACCATCTATAGCTACCAGCAGGAGCTAGGAGGAGCTATGGAGCACACACAGGATGCTACTCTCCTGCTAGCTTCTAATCTCTTCCTGGTGTCTCTAGTGGAAAACCCAAACTCAACACAACCAGAAAAAAAAGGTTAGGAGGGCTGATGGAGAAGTCTGCACTGGTGGGCCTCCTGGGTACGAGGCTCGTAGAGAGAAAGAATAATGGGTCCCATTGGCTGGGCTCCAGGGCACAAAGCTTAGAGAGGGAGAACAGAGGGCCCCAAGAGGCTAAAGCAAGCTTCTCAGAGCACCTCCTAATTTGCACTCCTTCCATCTCCTCACAGCTCAAGACCCAGCTCTACCTAAGCGAGTCTCCCCAGTTATTCCCTGCTGAGGCAGATTTAGGATCTTCTGGTATTTTCCCAGGGATTTCAACATGGCCAATTTAATGGCAAACATTTTAGGGCAAAGTTTTTATCTGGGTTTTCTCTGGTCTCTCCATGACAGATTTTATTCGTTCATAGACACATTTACTAAATGGAAAGGTGATCTGGCTGCAAGGACTGGCCCACAAGTGGGACACGGGGTCTGAGTGGTCCCCAGTGTAGCACTGCATCAGGAAGTCTGACAGGCTTGTCTGGGATCCTGCACAGTTCCTCAGGGCTGCGTGGCCTTGTTCCCATTGGATGTGTGTGGGAAACCCTGCACTGAACTGTCAGTGTCAGTATCGGAGATGATCATGGTGACCTTAACCTTGGCAGATATTGTGCAGATTATGAGACTTAGTGCTTCGTTGGCAGAGGGTTGCTGTCACTTTCTTTGAAAATGATGGAGCAAGTTGGGCATAGTGGCACACGCCTTTAATCCCAGAACTTGGGAGGCAGAGGCAGAGGCAGAGGCAGTAGGGTCTCTGTGGGTTTGGGGCTAGCCTGGGTCTACAGAGTGTGTCTGAGTTCCAGAAGAGCCAGATTCTGTCTCAAAAAGAGACAAAAAGAAAGAGAGAAAGAAAGGGGGTGGGGAGGATAGAGCAAAGATAAAGGGTGAATTTTCTAGGCAAGTGGGATGTACCCTCAGAGAAGCTATGAGGGCTATGAGGGCTGTGTGGCAATGTCTCCCCTATTTATATTATCTCTCCATAGAAGATGCAGAAGTTTGAGACCAGACTGCTCCTAACTCACAGAAGCAGAGTGTCAAAGTACTACTTTGTGTCAAAGTAGAAGAGGGGTTGAGGAACCCAGCATCAAGAGGGAATGTCTGCAGTGGGAAGAGAACATGCTAGAGCCAGATGAACTAAGTGTGACTCCTCATTCTGATATTTATCAATTGTGTGACCTTGGACAAAACCTTTACCTTCTCTGCACATCAATTCCCAGAAGCACTGAAGTAGGAGCTAAGTGAAAGTTACATTTTTCAAAACTGTGGGACTCAGCCAGTAAGAACCTGTGTATAACTTAAGTGAGGTTGTGTATAGAGACCTGGTGTGTCTCGGTCCTGAGGTAACTCAGAGAATGGGAGATCATGAGAAAAGGAGTGTAGGTGTGTCTCAAGGAGGAAGCCTCCAATTGAGATGTGAGAGCCCAAAAGGCAAAACCAGGAGTTAAGTTGGAAACTTCAGGGCACACACTTCATTGTAACCATACATGAAGGGGTGGAGAGACCAGAGTCCTCAGTTCAGAGTACCTTACTATCCAGGAAGGACTGGCTAACTTACCCTGGGCTGGAGCCACTTAGAGCCACCTGTGCTATGCTTTGAAGAGAGGTAACCCTTTTAATGTTGGTGCCTGGTGTGTTTGCTAAGAGAAAGCACCCTCTGTTATGACAAGAGATCCAACAACTCTCATCCTGTGACACTCAAACAGGCCCAGAAAGTGATGGAATTCCTGCAATGAGGTCCATAGCACCTGACTATGCTTCGAAACCTACAGCAGAGTGCTTCTAATCCTGCCCTCCAAAGACCACATTCCTCACTTTGTTTAGACAAAATGAGGGTCCTCTCTGGCTGCTTTAAAATCATGTATTGCTTGTGTTTTACTCTTTTGTCCATCAGCTTTGTGACCAGAAACATCTGCTTCTGCTAGGCAGACTCGTTTGGATTAGAAGAATCCTGCCACAAACAACTATAAAACAGTAGATAAACATACTAAAAACACATAGTGCATTGTGCAACATGTTGCTCAATAAGAAACCATGCCTATGAAAATGACCCCATACATTTATAACAGAGACCAAGTAGCCACCCTAACATCACAACACAACACATCACCGCATTTCTCATGTTTGCTGCCATGATGGTGGGAATGAACCTACTGTATTTATTGCCTTTGTCTAAAAGTGCAGTAACACTACAATGTTACTGCATGATGTTATTATAATGACTTTACTACTCTATGCCTTCATTGTATTTGGGTTTTTTTTGTTTTTACTTTTTTTGTTTTATTTTTTTGTTGTTGAAGACATGGTCTCACTCTGTAGCCCAGGCTGAATCAGACTCACAGTGATTCGTCTGCCTCAGCTTCCAAGTGCTGGGATTAAAGGCTGAAGCCACCACACCTGAAGTCATTGCGTGTTTCACCACTAGTTTGCACTGCTCCTTCTGCTTATAAACAAAGTAGATTATAAAATGCCATGCTGTGTCACACCAACAACAGCCTTACACAGCTTGTTTACAAGTCTCTTGATTGTATCAAGAGGCCACATGGAGGGACTGATGTCTACCATCCAAGTTTGTGAGGGAACATTCCAGTATGTTTAAACAATGCCTGAGTGTCCCTTGTCGTCAGTGCTTCCTCCCCCTGCCTCTGTCATTAGGTGAAACCTGACACTGGAAGGCTACTGAGGCTGCATGGGCTCAAAGAGCCAAGGCTCCAGAGAGAAAGGGTGGGCATAGGTCTCTGATTTTCCTAAGACAGTGCCTGGTAGGTTGGAGAACTGAGTGATATTTTCAGTGGCCTTCAGCGACCGACAAGATAGAAATCAGAGGTCATGGGAAGGGACTGATGATAGAAATAAATTAGGACACAGAGTGTAAATAAAATGTTTGGGAACCCCAAATAAGAGGAGAGAAAGAATGTGCAGAGGAAGCAATTACGAGCAATGTTGAAGAATTTTCCGACAGTGATGAGCAGTAGCAAGACCAAGCAGTCTACACACAGAGGAAGCCACCTCTGGGCACACAGACTGTGGAAAAGCAGAGGCAAAGGGAATCTCACACATAGCCAGAGGGTAATAGAGATGCTACATCTGAAGAACCTCAGGAAGCCTCCCCACAAAAATAAGGAGGCAAGAAGGTCATGGGATAACATTTTGAAAGGGCTGACAAAGTAACGGCAGTCTATGTATGTTCGTTGGGGAAAACATGAAGATGAAATGGAGACCCGGAGACAAACAAAAACGGAGGTACTAGAAGATCTTAAAGCCAAAGGAAAAGTAACACCAGTAATGGAGTGGAGGTTTAGGAAGGAATGAAAGACAGAATAGAAAACTGCATAAGCACACCTAAACGCAAACCCCATGTATGTCCTAAAATATCTGTATTATGAACTGGTGAGGTAGCTCAGTGGCAGGGCACTTGCCTATCATGACTGAGACCCTGGGTTTGGTACTCAAGAGTTACATCATATGGATAATAATAAAGAACAACTGTGTGTGTGTGTGTGTGTGTGTGTGTGTGTGTGTGTGTGTGTGTGTCTATTAAAATGTTGGCAACGGTAGCACAAAAGGCAGGTGGGGATTAAAGTGTAAAATCTTGTGTGATCTGAGCTACTGTGCATTTATTTTCTATTTTGCTATTGTTTTGATTTTTGAGTCAGGGTTTCTATGTGTAACAGTCCTGGCTGTCCTGAAACTCTCCCTATAGACCTGGCTGGTCTTGAACTCACAAAGATCTGCCTGTCTCTGCCTCCCAAGTGCAGGTATTAAAGGCATGTGCCACCACCACCCAGCTACAAGTCTATTTTCTAATAGACTTAACAAGCCTTAACAAATACAGTCTATAATGTTTGTGTTAATCACTCTAAGAACAGCAAACAATAGAAAAGTAGAACAGTTTACTACAGTGGGTAATTGAAGAAATTCTAAAAAGAAAAAAAAAAAAATCTTGACCCGTGGATTTTCTGTTGCTGTGATGAAATGCCTGGGAGGAATGACCCATCCTGACTCAAGGCTTCAGTTTCAGTTCATGGTCACGTGGCAGTTCCATGTACAATGGAAAGAGCACGTGACAAATGAGGCTTTATTCCCAGGGGAATAAAGAGAGATAGAGAAGAGGTTGGGGTCCCAATGTCTCTCTCATCTTCCCCTCTCTCTCCTTCTCTGGTGTTTGCGATTTCCTGGCAGCCAGAGGCAGACACTGATATCTTCCTCAATTGCTCTC